CTGCGTCCCCGGGCATCTTCCGGTAGCCGGTGCTGGCGCAGCTGGAGTCGCTGGGGAGTTTCAGCGCCGCTAGCGTGCTGGTGTTGGCGTCCGGCGAGGCCAGCCCGCTCTGCAGCTCCAGCTTGACGGTGTCGAATCTCGGCTGGCTCAAGTGCTCGGAGAGCTGGTCGTATAGCGACTTGGTCTTGTCCTCGACATAGTTGAACAGAAGCGCGGGCTCGCGCAGCGCCACGGACGTGGGCGTCTGGTTGGCCTTTTCCTTCTTGATGTCGCGTTCTAGCGCGTCGGCCATGAGCTTGTCGTGGGGCACGTTGAACCAGAAAAACACCTTCTGCTTCTTCTGCGTTCGGAGACACGAGTTCTTGTAGAGGAACTCCAAGAACTCCAGCTTGGGGTTCTCCAACACGGAGTCCGTGCCGGCCTTGAGGTTGCGCAAGTCGGAGAAGATGCCCTCCTCGAACTTCTTGCGGTCCGTGACCGTGCGGCCGAAATGCTGGAATTTGTAGAGGATGCACCGCACAATGTCCGTGCCGGTGATGAAGTAGAGATTGTTCCAGAACACGCAGCTGACGAACCCTTCGTCGTTGTTGAGGTAGTACCGGCGGATCACCTGGTTTTCCTGCCAGTTGGCCGGCGCGGTGGCCAAGAAAAATTTGAGGTCTTCCACAAGACTTAGCGACTCCTTGACGTCGTCTGTGATTTCGGACATTTGGTGACTAGTGGATGGCGACTAGTGGTCTCGTGACTAGTGGATGGAGACTAGTGGTCTCGTGACTTGGGTCTGGTGACTAGTGGCACAGGCCAAGGCTGGGGCAGCAAGCGAGGGCAGATTCGGGGCCCGGATCCGGTGGGGAAGCGAGACTCTCAAACAGTCCTGAGAACGGAGGCGGTTTCAAAAGAGGGCGCCGAAATGAAACGTGCTGAAAAGTGGGCCGTGGACGAGAAGTGTGAGGAACAAGGCACTAAATATGAACGGGGTGTGTTTCAGGTTGCGAGATCTGAAACACCGCTGCCCGCTCTGGCCCGCGCACGGCCCGCGTGGACGCAGGGGCATCTGGTGTGTGCGGGCGTCCCAATGCGGCATCCCGGTGTGCACACTGGCCCTCCCGCGCCCACGCGACGAACCCTGCGATAAGCACCAGCGAAAATAGGCCCAATTAGCCCGGCGCCCTCAACTGAAAGTCTAATTGGAAATCGGATAATCATCGGTGTGGCCAATTAGATAGGCTGCGTCCCCGGGCATCTTCCGGTAGCCGGTGCTGGCGCAGCTGGAGTCGCTGGGGAGTTTCAGCGCCGCTAGCGTGCTGGTGTTGGCGTCCGGCGAGGCCAGCCCGCTCTGCAGCTCCAGCTTGACGGTGTCGAATCTCGGCTGGCTCAAGTGCTCGGAGAGCTGGTCGTATAGCGACTTGGTCTTGTCCTCGACATAGTTGAACAGAAGCGCGGGCTCGCGCAGCGCCACGGACGTGGGCGTCTGGTTGGCCTTTTCCTTCTTGATGTCGCGTTCTAGCGCGTCGGCCATGAGCTTGTCGTGGGGCACGTTGAACCAGAAAAACACCTTCTGCTTCTTCTGCGTTCGGAGACACGAGTTCTTGTAGAGGAACTCCAAGAACTCCAGCTTGGGGTTCTCCAACACGGAGTCCGTGCCGGCCTTGAGGTTGCGCAAGTCGGAGAAGATGCCCTCCTCGAACTTCTTGCGGTCCGTGACCGTGCGGCCGAAATGCTGGAATTTGTAGA